TTAAGGCTGAATAATATTCCATTGTATATTTACAATGTATATTCCATGTGCATATATATATCGCATTTTCTTTATCCATTCATCCACTGATGGACACTTACATTGTTTACATATCTCAGCTATTCCCTAATAATGCTGCAATGAGCATGGGAGTGTAGATATAGCTCTTCAACATAGTGATTTCATTTCCTGTGGATATATACTTTGAAATGAGATTGTTGAGTCACAAAGTAGTTCTATTTTTAATTTTCTAAAGCACCTCCATACTGTTTTCCATAATGGCTGTACCCAATTTGCATTCCCAACAACTGTGCACGAAGGTTCCCTTTTCTTCACATCCTCACCAGTACTTATCTTTTGATGTTTTGATAATAGCTGTGCAACTAGGTATGAGGTGACATCTCGTTTTTGTCTTATCTGCATTTCCCTAATGATTAGTGATATTGAGCATCTTTCATATACCTATTAGCCATTTGTATATCGTCTTTGGAAAAATGTCTATTCAGGTCATTTGCCCATTTTATAATCCAGTTGTCTGTTTTTTGTTTGTTTTTGTAATTTTATGAATTCTTTACATATTTTGCATATTAACCTTTATTGGGTATATAATTTGCAAATGTTTTCTCCCATTCTTTTGATTTTATTGATTGTTTCCTTTATTGGGCAGATTTTTTTTATTTTTTTAAGATTTTATTTATTTAAGAGAGAGAGAAAGGAAGAGAGTTCAAGCAGGGGGAGCCACGGAGGGAGAGAGAGAAACAGATGCTCTGCTGAGCAGGGAGCTGGATGCAATGTGATGTGGAGTTCCCAGGACCCTGGGATCATGACCTGAGCCAAAAGCAGACGCATAACTGGCTGAGTCATTCAGGTGCTCTGAGCAGAATCTTTTTAGTTTGATGCAGTCCTACTTGCTTATTTTTGCTTTTGTTGCCTGTGCTTTTGGTGTCATCTCCAAAAAAATCACTGCCAAGACCAATGTCAGAGAGCTAACCCCCCCTTTTTTTCTAGGAGTTATACAGTTTTGGGTTGAATGTTTAAATAAAGTCGATTTTTAGTTGATTTTTGTATATGGTATAAGATAAGGGTCCAGTTGCATTCTTTTGCATATGCTATTCGGTTTTCCCAATACTGTTTATTAAGGAGAGACACTTTTCCCATTGTATATTCTTGGCTCCTTTGTCATAAATTAACTAACTATATATGTATGGGCTTATTTCCAAGCTCTCTCTTCTGTTCCATCAATCTATATATCTATTTTTATGCTAATGCCATATTGCTTTGATTGCTATAGCTTTATAATATAGTTTGAAATCAGGACGATACATTTTTTTTATAGTCACCTGGTTGGCAAAATTAAAAACGTAGATGATATCAAGGATTAAAAGCAATTGGACTTGTTATCTACTGCTAATGGGCATACAGATTGTTACAAATACTTTGGAAAGCAATTTGGTATTATCCAGTAAAGTCGAAGATGTTCATACCTTATAAGCCGACAAGCTCAATTTTAGGTATATTTTTTAGATTGAGGATCAGCAAACTACAGTTTCATCCCCCACACCTCCCACCTACACACACTTAGAGACTTGAACGCTAGCTTAGTTCCTAACAACTCAAGGTCACATCCCCTAGAATGACCCCAGGACCTCTTAGAGGGGTCAAGGCCGCTGGGAGAATTTTGTTTGTTCCGGTCCCAACTCTGGTGGTAGGCAGATAGATCCCAAGCCCTCTCTTACAGCAGTTACTTTAGAAAGTTTGCAATTATAAATACTTTCTCTGCCTTTAAGATGTAAATCTACCATCCTAAACCATTTCTCTGAAGATGGAAGAGAGATCTTTTTGAAATGCAAACATTCAGGGAGAGAATCATGGCTTTCAATCCCAGTTCCTGAGTGGGAAGATAAAGGCCTAACTTTGGTGGGGGCCTTGCTTTAACTTGCACCACCAGTTCTGGTCATAAAGATAGAAGTTTGTTTCTTCCCTGGTTAGGCTCCAGTTAGCAAGCCCAGATGGCTTAGTCACATGGATCACCCCCACCCTCAGCGCTCCCCAGTGCCTTCCCATATACACATCCCCGCCTTTCAAAAGTCTCCAGCCTTCTGTTTCCACGAAGTTGATTTCAGGTCATACTGGACCCCCTTCCTTATGGCGGTAGTTTACTACTGAAAAAAAAAAAATCTATCCTTACCTCCTTAATCAGTGTCTGACTTCATCTTTGACAAAAGCCACAATGATGGTGTGGCTAATGGAGTTTGAGGAACAAGGGCATATAATGTTCTGTTTGGAATTATTTTCTTTCTATAATATAAATCCCGCCTCTATCGTCTTTACTCTTATCTTTCATGTCGGTAAAATTTAGTAGAAATACAAATGACTCCTAAGAGTGGGTTTTGAAAGAAAATACGGTAGGCTTCTGAGTGTCATGTCGGGAACAAGGCATCAGAGAAGAGATAGAGCACATTCCATAGGGAGAAGATCCATAAGTCTGTGAGTAGAATTATTCCAGTAGCAGGAGGAGTTTAAAGGCAGAAGTGACTATGAGATTATAATCCTAAGAATTCACAGAAATCTTGGAACTCCACTGCAGGTGGAAAGGGGGTTCCTGGGACAAAGACCCACCCATGAGCATGTGGGTTACATATATTAATAACTACTACTAGTGCTACCACCATTTACTGTGTACCTACTGTACACCAGACCTGTGCTAGATGTTACCCATCTTTCTGTCTTCAGTCTTGACTCTCCCATTTGCCCCACAATCCAAAGTAAATGTTCTTTTTTTTTTAATTTAATTCAATTTTTTAAAAACATTTTTTTAGGGGTGCCTGGGTGGCTCAGTGGGTTAAGCCGCTGCCTTCGGCTCAGGTCATGATCCCAGGTCCTGGGTTCAAGCCCCACATCGGGCTTTCTGCTCAACGGGGAGCCTGCTTCCTCCTCTCTCTCTGCATGCCTCTCTGCCTACTTGTGATTTCTCTCTGTCAAATAAATAAATAAAATCTTTAAAAAAAAAAAAACATTTTTTTATTTGACAGAGTTAGGAGCATGGGGAGTGGGAGAGGGAGAAGCAGGCTCCCCGCTGAGCAGGGAGCCTGATGTGGGGTTTGATCCCACCACCCTAGGATCATGACTTGAGCTGAAGGCAGCCACTGAACAACTGAGCCACACAGACAGTCTTCTTTTTCTTCTTCTTTTTTTTTTTTTTTTAAATTTATTTATTTTTTTACTTGAGAGAGAGAGAGAGAGAGGGAGAGACAGAGACAGAGACAGCATAAGCAGGGGAAGAGGCAGAGGGAGAGGCAGAAGCAGACTCCTCGCTAAGCTGGGAACCAGGTGTAGGGCTCCATCCCAGGACCTAGGGACCACAACTTGAGCCTAAGCAGACACTTAACCATGTGAGCCACCCAGGCACCTCAACAAAGTAAATGTTCTAATAATTAAGTTACATTATTTACTCCTCACTTAAGACCATTTTGGGTTAAAGTTAAAGTTTAGACTCCTTGGCATAATAAACTGTAATTTCCTGTCTCAACTTCATCCCTGGCTGCTCTCTATAATCATTCTAGTCATACTAAACTCTTCATACAACTTTTAAGAAAACTCAAGTGTCTCTCTTTGTACACCCCCTTCCTCAATAGATCGCATCTTTCCTTCCCATTTTTCTGCTGTATTTTGTCCACATTTCAACTATACAACTCCTCATCCTACACCACATCTATTTCTTTATATATCTTTACCTCTGACTGGACTTAGAAGCCCCTGTGTTAGAGCTATGTTTTATTCATCTTAAAATTCACTTTGTCTTTTTGCTCATTTAGTCAACAAATATTTTTTAGTATCTACTTGGTACTAGGTTCTGGGGAGTCAATAATACTTGAGTCCTTCAGTGTTTCCAGTCTAATAGAGCCTGAGAACCCATGCTCTACATTAACCAGGTACTTAATATATACTGACTAATGAATAAATGAACTTATTCTGAGTCTTGAGCAGCCACAAGCTCTTCAAAGAATGATTCTGGACAAGCGCATTTACAGACACTGGTAGAATTATCATCTTCCTTCCTGGCCATAGAATCATTTAATGACAAGGGTTTGCCAGCTTTGTCTGTAGGGGGCCAAACAGTCAATATTTCCAGCAGTGTGGGCTATATGGTCTTTTTTGCAACTGCTCAACTCAGACCACCCAACCCTGTGGTTGTGGGGTTAAAGCAGCCATAGTTAACGTTTAACCGAATTAGGGTGGCTGTGTGCCAATAAAACATCATGGACAGATGATGAAATTTGATCTTCTCAATCTCACGAGTCACAAAACAGCATTCTTCTTTTGATTTTTTTCAACCATCTAAAAATGTAAAATCATCTTAGTTTGTGGGCAGTACAAAAGCAGGCGACAGAGTGACTTTGGCCCCCAGGCTGTAGTTTGCTGGAAGACGTTTTAGAAAATCCCTAATGAAAAACAAAGATATATATATATATATATATATATATGTATATACATTATATTTTAATATATTGTAATATATTACGTCATATACATAGATGTATTATACATTACACTATTATAATTATTATACACTATAATATAGTATTTATATAATTAGTATATTATATACATACATATACACATATATGATATATAGTAAATATTTCTTTATTTCTAATAAATACATACAAACACACACACACACCCTCCATTCTTGTGGATAACCGTCTTTGCTGGAGGTTGAATGGAAAAGGAAACCCACACAAAGCATTAGTTAATTAATATATTATGTCACATTAGCAGCAACACTATGAACCAGAAGTCTATTTATCGAGGGAATAAGATACACAGTTAGGTTGTACTGCCAAAACAACGCGGTCCCAAGCGGAAAGAAATCAGCAGGTGGCAGGGCTCCGAAGCCAAGGCACCCCCCTCACTGCTCAGACCCGAGCATCCCTAACCGGCAACGCCACCCTGGGCCGGGCTTCCCGGGAGGGCTGCGGGACGGCGCAGACGCACTCGTTCCGCCTTCCCACCAATCTCGACCCTCGACGCGTTCCGTTCGTGCGTGGAGGAGCCCGGCGGGAGGAGAGGCCGCTCCGTGGGCAGGGGCTGCGGCGCGCCCAGCGGCTGGACCCGGCGACGGCGCGGATGGCGGACTCGCAGCTGTTCTGCGTGGCGGAGGAGCGCAGCGGCCACTGCGCCGTGGTGGACGGAAACTTCCTCTACGTGTGGGGGGGCTACGTGGTAAGGGGAAGAGGCGGGACGGGGCGGACTCGCGCCGGGAGCCCGTCCGGTCTCTGGGCCCGAGCGGACGCCGAGCGCCCGCCCACACCCGGCCCCGAAGCGGGGGCCGGTCCGCGGCCAGGGTCCGGCGCGCCCGGCGCCCCCCGCGCCCCGCCCGTCCCTCCGCCGTCGGCCGCTCTCCCCGCCGCGCCAGGGCTTGACGCCGCCCCGCCGTTGCTTCCACTTTGAAAGCCTTCAAACCCGCGTTCCGGGGCTCTTCCCACTCTGCGGCCCCCCTCCCCCCGACTTCCCGCAGCTGTCCAGTAACCCCCGGTCTGGCCAACGCTAAGTCCGTCTTTGCGCCATTAATTATCTCTAAATGCTTGCGCAGACTTACAGGCACGACGAGGACGCCGTGCTGTTTATTATTTTGTAAATATTTCCCTATTGCTCCAGCGCGATTCGGAATATTGAAATCACTGAAGCATTTGAATATTTCTAAGCGATTTTTAGTGGCATTCCTTTATCATTGGGTAATTACGAAGTTTTTTCGAGCCTCAAAATAGAGGCATATTAGCAACAATATACTAAAAATTGCTTAAATGCTTATTACAGGAGAGGTTTGAATGTGTGTATTTGTTTTGTTTTATAATCATAGGATTATAGAACCAAGGATTCTAAAACCAGAAAACAGTTCAGGAATATATGCCAACCACTTCAGTTTACAGGTTTTTTTTAAAAAAAGGCAAGCCATCTGGAAGTTCTCTTGGAAGTAGAACCTACATTTTCTGACTGTCTCGATACTATTATGTGACAGATGTAACATGACTGAATCACTCACTGAAATAAAGTACATACTATCTCTGTTAAATGATTCTCAGATCCAAGTCGGTTTTTGTTGTTGTTTTGTTTGTGTGTTTATTTTTAATTTGGTGCAGTATCAGGAGGGGAAAATTAGAACTAACCTTTGAGTGCCTACTATACCTGGCATGTGCTAGGAACTTACATATCCCTAATCTTATATAATCTTTTCCATACCCTGTAAGGTAAGTAATAGCCCCATTAAAAATAAGCATGATGAGTCAAAGAGAATGAGTCAATGAGAATGAATAATGGCCATTTGACCTCAAGGAAACGAGATTCCAAGGTAGGTATACTGGATTTCCAAAGGCTATTTTTTCCATGATAAACTAACATAAATTAGATGACTCTGCTTTCTCAATGTCTAATATTTCCACCATTTGTTCTTCATAGAAAAAGAGCCTAGATATAATGATGGTTTTATGCAGAAGAAATATTTTGATTGTTTTTGAGCTCTGCCACTTGAAGATGTAGGTGTCAAACTTCCTCTGTTATATTGATTCTTAATATTGTAAAAGTAAAGTGAAAAAAATCTCATTTAAATTAGTAATCCACTATCTCAGATCTGGTGACAGTGTATATTTCTTTCGGGTCTACAAATGAAATGTCTGAATATTTTTAATCCCCTTTTAATCTTGAAAATCGTGTAATTGATAAGATTCCAGGTGTTCAGGTTGTAGTCAGTGAATAGACTATTTATTGATCCAATGAGTAGAGTGCTGTTAGAACTGCTCTGAAAAGTGCCTTACAGCTTTAACTAGAGTCTGCTACAGGCATACCTTGGATGTTGGGGGTTTGATTCCAGACCACCACTATAAAGGAGGTCAAATGATTTTTTTGGTTTCCTAGTGCATATAAAAGTTACGTTTACATTATACTGTAGTCTATTAAATGTGCAATGGCAAGATGTCTAAAAAATACGCATACCCTAATTTAAAAATACCTTATTGCTAAAAAATGCTAACCATCATTGAGCTTTGAGCAGGTCTTAATCTTTCTGCCCGTGGAGGGTCTTGCCTTGATGTTAATGGTTGCTGACTGGTGAGGGTGGTGGTTGCTGAAGGTTGAGTGGCTGTGGCAATTTCTTAGAGTAAGTCAGTGATGAAGTTTGCATTATCAATTGACTCTTGCTTTCATTAATGATTTCTTTGTAGCATGTGATGCTCTTTGATAGCATTTTACCAACAGTAGAACTTCTTTCAAAACTGGAGTCAGTACTCAAACCGTCCTGCTGCCCGATTAAGAATAGAAAACGTAGGGACGCCTGGGTGGCTCAGTTGGTTAAGCGGCTGCCTTCGGCTCAGGTCATGATCCCAGCGTCTTGGGATCGAGTCCCGCATCGGGCTCCTTGCTCATCAGGGATCCTGCTTCTCCCTCTGCCTCTGCCTGCCATTCTGTCTGCCTGTGCTTGCTCTCTCTCTGACTCTCTCTCTCTGACAAATAAATAAATAAAATCTTAAAAAAAAAAAAAAGGAATAGAAAATGTAATATTCTAAATCCTTTGTTGTCATTTCCACCATCTCCACAGTCTCTTCACCAGGAGTAGAGTCCATCTCAAGAAGCCACTTTCTTTGTTCATGCATAAGAAGCAACTCCTCATCAGCTCAAATTTTATCCTGAGATAACAGCAACTCAGTCACCTCTTTAGGCTTCACTTCTAATTCTAGTTCTCTTGCTATTTCTATCACGTCTGCAGTTCCTTCCTCCACTGAAGTCTTGAAACTTCAGTTTAAAAAAAAAACAAACAAACACAATATCCGTGAAGTGCAGTAAAGCTAGTGCAATAAAACAAGGTATGCCTGTACTTTTTAAATTCCAGGGATTATCAGCAGCTAAAATATGTCTAAGACATGAGTGGAAGGAAAAAATGGGAGGCAAGAAAGAGACACCGAATATCATGAGAAAAAGTAGAATCTTTCTGTTTTATTCAGATCCTTCTGAACAGAAAATAGCTAAAAGGCCGTGGAATCTGGAGGTAATCCAGTAGTCAGTAATGAAGAATAATGATCAAATAATTCCAGATTGTATGTTATAATTGCAGTTTTTGTCCTTACTAACAAAAAACAATGTGTGTTAAAATTCATAAATATATATCCTGAAGCTTGAACGGCCTACAGATAACTGTCTAGATTACTCATTACTCTGTTGTCAGACATATTCCGTAGGATAGTATATCAGAAAACAGTTCTACCTCTCTTTAGAGGTAAGAGTGGAAGTGCTGGAAAAAGTAAGTGGCATATTTGAATTGGTGCCAGAATATTCTTTTGCATCTATTTCTTCCATATCCTTTCAGTATCATGCAAACTTTAGTACTGCTGTAAGGAACGTTGAGAATTTCTGAGTAGTTTTCCCAAATTTTGGAGGAAAAGCATAGGGGTTTAGCATGTTTGTAGGTGGTATGCTTTCCTCTTAGGGTTTTATTTCCATAACACGATTGCTCTTAATAATTTTTGCCCTGAAATTTTCCTTATAGAAAATATCTGCATAAATATGCTTAACTACATATTTCTGTTTGGGATGTGGACTTAAAGGGAAGATCAATTTAGAACGTGTCTGAAAAGAATCAAGATGAGAGGCTTACAGTGCCAGATATTAAAACATATCACAATACTGTAATAGTTACAGCAGTGCTCCTGATGCAAGATGAGTTAACATGATGGAATGGAAAAGAAGTTACATAAACAGCCTAGCATACCAAACTATTTTATACTTAAAAGGTAGTGTTTTAATTCTGGAAAAACAATTATTCGATAAATGGAGAAAATGATAGATTAAAGCCTTAGGATTGAAAAGTTTTGTTTTGTTTTGTTTTTAAGATTTTATTTAGAGAGAAACAGTGAGAGAGCATGAGGGGAGAAGGTCAGAGGGAGAAGCAGACTCCCCATGGAGCTGGGAGCCCAATCCAGGACTCGATCCTCGGACTCCGGGATCACAATCTGAGCCGAAGGCAGTTGGTTAACCAACTGAGTTACCCAGGCATCCCATGGATTGAAGAGTTAATGTAGGAAAATTAAGCTATATCATATCAGAAGAAAATATGTGACTCTTAAAATCTTAAGTTGAGAAAAGAAAAATGAATTGGGTAAAAGTATGAAGGAAAAAGATTGTAGATGAAACTTTTAAAAAAGCAAAAAAAAAATGCTTTTAAACAGCATAAAGTAAAAAAGGCTAATGACAAACTGGGGAAAATATTTGCAACATATATGATGGGCAAAAATAGAGATTTATAAAGATCTGTACCAATAAAAGTATCTCCATTGAAAATTGACCAATGGATATGTACAAGCAACTTACACAAGAAGAAATACAATATGAATCAAAGGAACCCAACTGAAAATGAGATTTTTCTGCTTCAATTTGCAAATATCAAAGAGAATTTTTGAGAAGACATGAGGAAATTAATTAATCTGGTAATGGGAGCACAGATTTGTATGACCTTTTTTAAGGAGAAGTTTAGTGATGGGTATCAAAAGCCTTAAGTATGTGTTCTCTTTAACCTAATCGTTCTGCTTTACATACTCTTAGACCGTGACATAGGCTGTTCATGTCATGTGGAAGACACTTATTCTTTTCAGATGCCCAAATTTGAACCTCCTTTCTCTATTGTAGTATCGCCCATCAAATGAGTCTTGTAGGGATATTTGTTGTAGTTGTCTGACTACCTCCTACTTACTTCTCTAGAATGTAAATTCTATAAAGATAGAGGTTTTGTTCCCTGTTGTAGTCCCAGCATCTAGTCTACGTGGCACCTATAAAAAGAGGCTGGGTGCCATGTACTCATTTTTCTAGACTCCTTTGCAGCTAGGTTGTGGGCAAGTGGCTTGGACTCGGTTAGATCAATCTGCTAGATTTGGACTTGGAGTAAAGGTGTAAAAACGAGGACCTGAAGAGGATTCTTAACCAGCAGTAGAATGTATAGGAAGATTGAGGTCCCTGACATAAAAGGCAGAGCTACAAACTGCAGCATGTTGCTTCCCCATGACGGGTTAGCTCACCTGTCCTGTTCTCTGGCTCAATTTCAGACCTTGCTCTTCCTCATGGAGATCAGAGGCTGGTTCTCCAGCTTCCCTTGAGGATTTTGTGAGAGACTTCATATTCACTTCTGAAAATTTTAGATTCTTAATTTTAAAAATTTGAAACATATGTACAAAAAGGACATG